GAGTTCAAAGCCAGCCTCAGCAATGGCAAGGTGCTAAGCAACTCAATGAGACCCTAAATAAAATACAAAATAGGGCTGGGAAAGTGGCTCAGTGGTCGAGTGCCCTGAGTTCAATCCCTTGTGCCAAAAAAAAAAAAAAAAAAAAGTGAAGACAAAGCTACAGATTGCAAGAGACTAGAGCATATCAAGCAATCAATCACAATGTGTGGACTTTGGATCTTAGCTTAAATGAAACACACACACACACACACACACACACACGAAGACATAGCTGAGACAGGAGGGAATGTGAATAGTAAGTGAATATTGGGTGATATGAAGAAACTATTACTTCCTAGATACAATAATGGATTGTGGTTATGTTAGAAAAAGTCTTCATCTTTTAGGTATCTTTATATCTAGATATATTTAAGGTGAAATGATATCTGAGATTTGGTTTGAAATATTGGGAGCAAGAGAAGTGGAGATAGAAATTATACACTATGTTCATAAATGTTTATATTTTTCCATAATAAAAAAAAAATTACAAATAAGAAGTACATGAGGACCTGGATTCAATCCCTAGCACACACAAAAAAAAAAAAAAAAAAAATCAAAGGCAGAATGGGAAATAGAATCCAAGAGAGGCGCTAAATGGCCCAAAGCCCCATGGTGAGTAAATATCGGGGCTGGGACCTCAGCTTGGACCCCAGACCCCTGCACCCCTCAGCTGCTTCTCTGGTCTGAAGGCAGATGGTCAAGGTGCAGGCAGCCCAGGGTGCACCCAGGCAGGGAAGCCCAGAGGTGGCAAGCAAACTGGGTATGTGCCATGCCTGGGAGGAGTGGGAGAGCCCTGGGCCACCTGCCCCCAGAGGTCCACCGATGTGGACCATTTAARATGCCAGCGTCAGCAATCCAGGCTCCTAGCCATGTCCTCCTTGTGTTCCCACACAAGTCTCCTCCCCAGCCCCTGAGCCCACCCTCCCAGGCCAACTTCGCCCGGCAGTCACTCCRCCCGGAATGCCACCTCTGTTCCTCTGAACCCAGCCATCCTTCCAGGCCCATCGCCTGCAGAACAGCCACTGGGTTTTCTGGAGCMCAGACTCCAATCCCTGAGACAAGCGACGATCTCCACCCTATGGATGTCTGACAGCACTGAGGTCCCCGAGGAGGAGCCAGGCTGCACAGCTGYGGCTGGTGGCTCAGTCCTGTGCTCACTGTGACCTCAGGCAAGCCCTTTAACCTCAGCTGCCTGGGGGGAACTTCATGAGGTTACTATGAATGCGGAGTTAATAAATGTGGGTAAATTTTTTGTTTTTGTTTTCTACCAGGAATTGAACCCCAAATCACGTATTCACTAATCCATATCCTCAGCCATTTTTAAATTTTTATTTAGAGACGGGGTCTCACTAGGTTGCTTACAGCCTAAGTTGCWGAGGCYAGCTTCAAAACTGCAATCCTCCTACCTCAGCCTCCCAAGCTGCTGGGATTACAGATGTGTGCCTCCATACCCAGCTGCCTGAGCCTTCTTTTGTGTCCCCTGGACACCCCACATTCCCCATGCTCCTTTCTGCAGCCCCCTGACACACACTTTACTGTCCCACCACAGCTTTTGGGTGGGAGATGGGGGGACAAGCCCAGAAGGGACCAGTTAGAAACCAGTCACTGATTAAAAACTCTCCAAACCCAAGTTAGCAGCATGTGATTCAAATGAGAACATTTATTTCTCAAATGGGTTAGCATTATTTACTGACTCAATCTTTGACCATTGAAGCCTCCTTCGTCTCACGTAAGTAAATGAGAAGGACCATCATTTTATCATTCCTCAGCAGCGCTAGGGAGCCCAAATCCACAAATGTATGACCACTGTCTAAGCAGCATTCAGAAACAGCGCACAGATGCAAAATTCAAAACATCCAATTTCTAAAAATGCACATGCTAATGTTCTAAAACTGTCGCCTTCAAGCAACATCCACTGAYCCCTCCCCCAGCACAAAAGAAGAGAAAATTAGGACCCCCTACTGGCTCTCCCTCTCTCTCCACCCCTCCTCATCCAGCCTAGAGTGGCCAGACCAAGTCAATAAAAATGTACGACACCTAGTAAATCGAGTTTCAGATAATGACAAATTTTTTATTTGTGCTGGGGACTGAACCCAGGGCCTCAACCATGCTAAGCCTGAACTCTGCCACTAGCTACACACCCCAAATAATTTTTTTTTAGTACAGGTACATCCCATGTACTATATACTTATGTAAGTATATAGTATAAGTATATACTTATACTAAAAAACAAAAATAAATGTTTTTATTTATTTGAAATTTAACTGTGCATTCAGTGTTTATTCGGCAAGCCTACCCCAACACCCACCATGCATTTTAATATCAAGTGATGTTTAAATAATAGCCAAGGTCTGCTGGGTGCGGTGGTGCACRCCWGCGATCCCAGAAGCTCGGGAGGCTGAGACAGGAGGATCCTGAGTTCAAAGGCAGTCTCAGCAACTTAGCAAGGCCCTAAGGAATTCATCAAGACCCTGTCTCTAAATAAAATACAAAAAGGCTGGAATGTGCCCCTGGGTTCAATCTCTGGCACCAAAAAAAAAAAAAAAAAATGTAAAACCAAACCTAACAGCCCGGCTCCTATCTGGGGTGCTTACTTCTCCCAGCCCCTCCACCTGCTTCCCCTGGAGGGAGTACCCCAGCCCCCTGCAATCAGTGAACTCCCCCACTCCTAATGCCCCCCCCTCCGGTCCCTTCTGTCCTGCCAGGCCCACAGTCAGTTTTACTTCCCCAGTGAGGTTTTCTGCCACCAACTCATTCTTACTGGGGGTGCATGCAAATTTCGGAAGGGACTCCTCATCTTCCCTTAGGAGAAAACTGCTAAATATGACCTGAAATTGGCTAGGGAGASCAGTGGTCACTCGCTGCACAAGTACAAGCAAGGGCTTCTCTGTGCCTGGCCCTGGGGACATGGGGAACAGGACKCGAACCATGGACTCCACAGCCCAGGGGGAGACAGCAGTGGTCCCAGGAGAGGAGAGCAGGCTGTGGAAAGCAGCTCTGTGGATGGGGCTCCCAGCCCAAGCTGCAGAAGCTTCTGGAAGGAAAAGAATCCTCAGGAGATGAGGGTGCAGCCTGTGCAAAGGCCTGCAGGCGAGAAGCATGGTTGGGGGAGGAACTGAAAGCAGGTCAGAGCAGCTGAGGAYGGAGGGAGGGTGAGACCGAGGGAGCCCGGGGCAGGGAGGGGAGCACAGACACATCAGGGAGACTGCAGGGCTGTCAAAGGAGCCAAGCGGGCCAGGAAGGGCTCTGCAGATGGTGATGCCCTTCACAGGCACAGGCCTGTGGTGAGGCAGAATTCTTGGTGGCAATCCCTTTCCCCGCTCCTCCACACAGCAGGTCTATGAGACTTGCCCAGAGCTCACTGGGAGGACCCCAAAAGCTGAGGATACCCTGGCTTRAGCCTCCCCAGTCCGTAGATGCTGACCTGGATTTCTCGCTCCAGGGCTGCCACAGAGGTGAAGAACTCTGGTCTTAACATAGCATCCCAGGAAGACTGGGCCACCAGGAGGCCCAAGGAGAGCAGGACTGCCCACCACGTGCTCAGGCCTAGGTAGGGGCCCTCACACCACCGCCCGATCAGAATCTCTGGAACTAGCAGGCTTGCAACACTTTTTTCCCAAAACCATGGCTGTCCATCAGCCCCAGGACTRGGAAGGGTTAAGTGAAACTGTCAGGTTTGGGTAGCTCTTTGGTCCTGGGGAATGTAAGGAAAGTTCAAGGGGGGCTCACCCTGCTCCTTCAGTCACCCACAGTTTCCCAGAGACCCCATCCATTCATTCCATCTCTCATTCATTCTGCAAAGGTTTACTTGGTGCCCAACCCTGGTCAGGTGCAGGGTGGTGACAGAGATGAATCAGAGTCCTAGCCTGCAGGCACTCCTGTCCAGAGCACCACAGTCAAGACATAAATAAGCAAGCCTCCAGGCAGGCTGGGTCCAAGAGCAGAGGGCAGGAGGGAGGATCTCACCTGGGGTATCAGGGAAGCTGGGGGGGGGGTGCTGGTGAGAGGTGATTTGGACACTTGATAAGAAGGGCAGGAGGGGGGAGAGACTTCCAAAATCATTGAGAGACAGTCCAGTTTGCACTCCAGCTGTGCCAGGGCCCCTGGGCCAGGAGGGTTATTTATGGTTGTACCTAGAAAAAGGYAGCTACCTGTGTCACTGCCCACGGGGTGCAGAGCTGGGTTTCAGAGGGTAGAGGACAGCCAGAGCTTAAAGCTCAGGTTTGAAGCTGGACCTGGCCAAGCTCTGGGGTCTGCCACAGCGTTCCTCATGTCCCGATGACCTGTAGTCTGTCCTTAGCCTCGCAAAACGCAAAAACAAGGGAGAGAGTGCGGCTCCAACAGGCAGCCTACAGCCTGGGGCCGAAGGCGGGCAGAGTCCCGCAAACCAGGCTCCTGCGGTATCCGCCGGCCTTTTAGCTTCACCTCCTYCTCTCTCTTTCCCCCTCCCGTCCCGTCGGTGGGGGAAGGGGTGGAAGGACAGAAGGAAGTACCTGTAATCTAAACCAGACAGGCGCGGGCGCATCAGCGCTGTGTTTCTCCCCGGCCCACTCTGATCCATAAATAGCCTACGCACCCAGCCGGCACCAGCCCACCCACCCCRGCTGGTACCAAAAACATCAGCACCCCCTACGCCCCAGCCCCCGGGGCCAGGAGGCCCCCGCGGCCCCACAGAGCTATTTCCTGAGCTCTCCCCCGGGCAAAGGCCTCCGCCACCAGCTCCCTCTCCCGAGGGGTCCAGAGTGGGGACCTCCTGGCACTGCCTGGGTGATACCCGCGCACCCCGGCGCCTGCAGAGCATCCCCAGCGCGCCCACCTCTCTCCAGGTACCGGCTCCACGCGCCCCGCGCCCCCGACTCCCGCCCGGCCACACGTCAGTCGCGGCGCCCGCCGCCCCCAGCACCCRGCAGCCAGACCCGCCGCCGCCACCCCCGGCCTCTCTCCCAGGGCCAGACCCCTACCTGGGGGCAGGAGCGCCGGGCACCATCGGCGGCGCCGCGGGGCGAAGCGGGGCGTCTGGGGCCCGGCCTCAAGCCCGGACGACTTCCCGGGGGAGGAGGAGGAGGTGGCGCTGCCGCCGCCACCGCGTCTCTCCGGGATCTCTCGGGGCTGGGGAAGGAGGAAGGTCAGAGCCCGGGCGGCGGGGAGCGGAGGGCGGCGGGAGCCGAGGGCGGGGGCCGGCGGGCGCGGATTAGAGAGGCATTTTTAGCGAACCAATGGCAGCGCGGCCGGGGCGGCGCGGTGGCTGCGCAGGTGGCCGCGCCGCGGTGCTGAGGAGGCAGCGCCCGGCTTAGCGGGCGCCGCGGGAGGGGCCGCGGGCATCGGCGACCCCGGCCTGCAGCCCGGCCCCCGGCCCCTCCCCGCGGCCGCGCTCTGCGCCCCGGTGTCGCCGCCCGCCACCTTGCCGGTCCCACCTCCCGGGCCTTTCCTCCGGCCTTGTCCGGGGGTCTCCGGTCCCTCCTAGTCCCCGCGACTCCTCCCGTGGTGGGTGGACGATGAGAGTGTTGGAGGGCTCGGGTGGCGGAGGGCTGTGGAGTGACGACCCCCTCCACGCCACCCCCGCAGGCTCCACTCCCGCCCTCGGACCCCTGGGGCAGAGTCCCTAACCCTTAGGCCATGGTTCCTCTGGATCTGGTGTCGCCACACCAAACTCTGGGCCATCTCTTTGGGATCAGGCGGTGTGRGGCCTAAAAGGTAACCCAAGGCCTTCACTCTTCCTGTCTTGAACCCTCAGTGCCTCCCAGGGTCTGAGCTCTGCACCGGGGGAGGGGGGCTTCGAGGTGATTCATTCATCACAGGTCCATCCCGGAGCTCACCTGAGCTCACCGAGCGCTGGGCTGCAACAGAGTACAACCAACCAGGAGCTCTGCCTTTCCGTGGTTGACATTTATGAGGGAAGACCSATCTCAGAGGTATAGGAGAATATTTAAAAGTGGCATGCACAAAAGAGAGGCGGAGGCAGGAGAGGGAAGAGACGGGGAGGGGTTCTAGGCAATCTGGGAGGCTTCCCGGAGGAAGCGTTTGAACAGGGTGCTGAATGATAGCTGAGATTCCGATGAGCCAGATGATTCAGGAGTTAGGGAAAGGTTACTAGGAAAGGCAAAAAAAGTCAGGGGACATTTGGCAGGAGCTGCGATCCTGGAGAATTTCTAAACACCCTCTGGGCAAGGGGTGGGCTGTAGTCTAAAGCTAATGAAGTCCCCCCCACACACACACACACACACACACGCACACACTCCTACCCAGGTCCCAGCTGTCCCAGTTCCAGGTACCTTTTGTCCTCACTTCAACCTGCAATTTCCTGTTGGCCCCAGGAGGAGGCAGTGATGAGCATGGGAGGAGTGGACCCAGAATTCACTCAGTCTCTTGCTGAACACTTRCCTCCTCTGGAGTTCAGCTTCCTTGTCTCCTAACTGTGTGGCAAGTTGCTTAACTGATCTGTGCCTGGGTTGCCTCGTTGGAAAAGGGCATAGCAATGGCACCTACCTCTCCGGACAACCTAGGTGAACTGATTAGTATATTAAGTGCTGTTAACTTCGTTGCATCCATCATGATGATAACTATGCTTGCTACATAGAGTTATTGGAATTAGACAAAGAGTATAAGGCCTGGAGCCTAGTAGGTGTGCAAAAAAAAAAATGGCACCTAGTATTATCACAGTCACTAATTGCCTACACCCCAAACCTCTCCCCCTTTGGTTTAACATAGTGCTGTGGAATTCCCCTCTTTAGACAGAGCTGTCTTAATGGAAAGAAGCTACTTCCCCTAAGAGGATCTTAAAGTGCAATCCAGGATGGCTAGAGCAGAAAATCTGTCCTTCCCCTTCTCATGCTTCAGCCCTGCTCTGTGTCGCATCGAGGGCTTTGATGGAGGTGAGATGAGCCAGGATGGGTGGGTTTTAGAAGGCAGTGAATCCAGAATGTAGACACTTGCTGGTGGAGGACACTGCGTGCCCCTTGGCAGCCAGGCRTTTGGTGGAGAGTGGCAGGAGCAGGAGGGGGGCATTCAGAGGAGGAGGGTAGTAATGCCTAGAGCAGAGAGAGAGGCTGGAGGCTCCAAAGCAGGCCCAGGAGCTGTGGACAGGATCAGGCATGCGGGAGGCCAACTGGGAGGCTTCCTGGAGGAGGCAGTGTTTGGAGAGGTGCTGATTGACAGCTGAGATTCTGATGAGCCTGATGACTCAGGAGGCAGGGAAGGTTACTTGGAAATGCCGGCAAAGTCAGGGGACATTTAGCAGGTGACTGGAGCTGGGGTCCTGGAGTATTTCTGGACACGCTTTGTGCCAAGGGTGGGCTGTCGTCTGAGGCTACAGGAGGCAATGGAGCATGCTCAGTCTGAGGCTGGGGAGAAGAGCGGAAGCTGGGCGAGCTCCGTTACCAGGCAAGGTCTGCCCGGGATGGAATTCAGACCTTGTCCACCACAAGCCTGGAAAAAATGAGAGGGGAACACACACACACACACACACACACACACACACACACACACACCTGCCCTGTGTAATCCAAAATAAAATGTTATTTTAGGAATTGACACAGAACTTGCACGCTTCCTAAAATAAAACTAGCTTCCTTCCACACTTTTTGATTGCAAAGCTTATGTTCATCAGAGATGAGTTTCCCAGCGCCCAGGTCGCCCTCTCTCTCCTTTATTGTTCAGGCCCTACCCAGAGAACAAGGCTTTCTCCCTTTCCCAGGGCATTTTGCACTTTTCCAAGAGTTTTTCCCACCTCTTCCCTCCCAACACCTCTCCTTTCTCAGTCCCGTTAAAATCTGACCAACMGCGGTTCTCATGGGTCCCTTCTTCCCAGTGTGACCTCCAACTTCCCACAGGCAGGAGCCTCTTCCCTTGGACTCTGCACCGGGCCTCCCTGAGGAGTTTCAAATGCTGACAAGACACAGAGGACATGTAGACAGAAGGACAAACCAGCACCGAACAAGCATGTGAAATAAATCAATCAATGAATGAATTATGGATTGGTAATTAATACTGCATGTCTGGCCTGGAGTGATGGAGGGTGATGGGGAGGATCTGGATTCTCTTTGTTCCATCCCACATGGAGGTTTCAATGAGGAGGGAAGGTTTTGAGGAATTTCTCTATTATAACCCACCTCCAGTTGGAAAGGAAGGGCAGGGATCATGTCCCAATTTTGGCAGAACAGGACTCTGGGAGCCCAGAGAGGGAAAGTGACTCATTCAAGGTCACACAGCACGCCAGTGACAGAGCTGGGGCTATAAACAGATCTCCTGACTTCTGGTCAGGTGCTGTCGTCACCCGATTCTTCTGCCTCCCCCACAAACCTGCATGGAGGTTGGGCAAGGCCGAGCAGGAGAGCGATTGGCCCTGATGCCCATTGCAGGGTTTTATTTTCTGAGCTGGCKTTCGGCAGCACGCACAGAGGGGAGCAGGACACACCTGACTGATAAAAATACTTAAAAACAGCCTTACAGGTCCCCTGCCCTMGCCTTATCCACCCACCAGCTGGCTTCGCACTTGCAAATTAGGCTCCGTCACCTGCCTGGTGGACACAGGCTGTTGCCAGCTGTGCCCTGAATCCGGAGACCAGGGTGTCAGGAGCCTTGGAATTGTGGCTTTCTCTGCCTCTGACTCATGTCTGGGAGTTTAACATGCCCTGGAGAAACACCACCTTGACAGAACCCTCAATCTTGGGAGGTGCCCAGATTTAGGACCCAGACCTAGCTTACACTCAAGACAGGGTTCACCCCAGGACATACAGACTTGCAGACACAGAGCCCTTTCCCTGGACGAGGCACTTTCTAAGCTTCCTGCATGTAAATTATGGGGATAGGCATGATTACTAACCCCCTGTTACAGACAGGGAGACTGAAGCCAGAGAGGTTAGGTGACTTGCCCAAGGTCACACAGCTGGTAAGCAGTGGAGCTGGGATTCAAGGCCAGGCAAGCTGGTTCCAAGGGACATGCTCTTAACCCCACAGAAGGAAAGGAACCAGCATGGGCGGAGGGTCTTACTATGCACAGGAGGATTTGACATACGTGATCGCATTTCGGTACTCTTAAACCCATTCTACAGATGAGGAAATGGAGGTAAGAGGGTCCTTTAGAGAGACCTCTCTCAAGGCATAAAAAGGACATTTGATACTGTCCTTAGGGTCTCCTCTCAGGGCTGGGCCTCCATGGCCTGGACACCATTGCCACCTAGTGGCAGTGTACCTTAAATACCAGCAGAACACCTGTGGCCAGGACTCTGTCCTGAACAGGAGAGCAGTGTGGCTCCCTAGTGACCATGCTTTCTATCTGGGCTGTGGCCCTGGGCTGGGTTCACGTTTGTAATGTCATCCTCAGAATTAATGATTGGGGGAAGGGAAGTGTGCGCACTGGTTTTTCAGTGTCCCCAGGGCTTTCGCTTGGTTTTGTTGTGTCACCACACAAAATGTCACTTTGATGCCCACATTTAAAAAAAAAAAAAAAATATGTTTGTAGTTGTAGAGGGACAGCACGCCTTAGTGGCCGAGTTTTTTACGTGGTGCTGGGGACGGAACCCAGGGCCTCCCACGTGCTAGGCAAGTGCTCTGCACTGAGCCCCTGCCCCAGCCCTGATGCCCACATTTTTTTAATGAGGAAATTAGACTCATCTAAAAAGCATTGATTAAAAAAAAAGAAAAGTTGGGGGGTGTTGATGGAGTTGGAGTTGAACGGAGCTCGCTGGCTCCAGAACCTGTATCGTGGCTGGAGAGGCCCTGGGGTGAAGCTCCCCGACGCCAGCCCAGAGAGCTGGGGTGACGTGCCCAGGATCCCAGGGAGCAGGTGACAAGGCTAGGTCCGCAGCCCCACTCTGCTGAACCTCGGGCTGAGGACTCCATTTGTGGCTGTGACCCCACATGACACAGAGGGGCTGCTGCCCTCCTGCCTCCTGTCCCCTTCTCAGGTGCCCTGCCTTCCCAGGGCCAGGAGGGCTGGGCCAAGATGAGATGGGGGTGCACCATGGGGCTAGGGTCAGAGCCTGCCATCCCACCTTGGTCCTCCCAGCCCACCTTGAGGTGGGGCTTTGCTCTCAGACCTTGATTTCTTCATCCACACAGTGGAGCACGGCATGGTGTGCAGAGCTGAAGGCCCAAAATCACCTAAGTGTCCTTCCACCGGTGGCTCAGTGGACACAATACC